TTATATTCATATGTCTTTCATGTGTCTGCTATAGGTTTTTGTTTTGTGGTTACCATATGGCATACATATAATAACATATTTATAGCCATCTATTTTAGCTTGGGTAAATTCTAACGCCTTACATATTTACTCTTTTGACTCCCACATTTTATGTTTCTGAGTTATATTTTACATCATTTTCTTATAAATTCCTAAGATAATTATTGTGGTTAGTTATTTTTTACTACTTTGTCTTTTTAACCTTCATACTAATTTTGTAAAAGCTTAATCCACCACCTTTAGTTTATATTTATCTTGTTGTTGTTGTTGTTGTTGTTGTTGTTGTTGTTGTTGTTACTAGTTAGCATGTTTTAATGCCAGCTTACAAAAGTCCCTTTTAACATTTATTTTAAGGCTCTTTCACGGGTGATGAAATCCATTAGTTTTAGACTGTCTGGAAAACTCTTGGCCACTCCTTCAATTCCCAAGGACAGCTTTGCCCTGTAAAGCATTCTTGGTGGGATTTTATTTCTTTGTGCACTGTGACTATATCATGCCAGTGCCTTCTGGCCTGACAAGTTTCTGCTGAAAAATCTGCTTATTGTCGTAGTGGGATCGTTTGTACATAACAGGTTGTTTTTCTTTTGCTGCTTTTAAGATCCTGTTCTTTCACTTTGGACTTTAAAAGTTATAACACGTCTTGTTGTGTGTGTCTATTTGGAAGTCTCTGGACTTACAGGATCTTGATATCTCTTTCCATTTGCAGGTTAGGCAATTTTTCATGCATCATTTCTTCACATACTTTTTCTATCCCTTTCACGCTCTCTTTTCCTTATGGGACCCCCATAATGTGAATATTGGTCTGCTTGATGTTGTCCCATTAGTCTCTTAGCTTTATTCACATTTTTCCTTCTCTACATTTTTGCTGCTCTGATTGAGTGAGTTCTAGTGTCCTTTTTCTGAGTTCACTGATCACTTCTTCTGCTTTATCTGTTCTGTTCTTAAACCCCTGTAGTGTATTTTTCAGTTCAACTATTGTATTCTTCAGCTCTGTGACTTCAATTTGTACTTTGTTATAATTTCTGTCTCTTTGTGTCTCTTTGTGTTCATTCTTCTCTTTAGTTCACTGAGCATGTTTATAATAATTATTTTGAGCTCTTAATCAGGTACATCACTAACCTGAGATATTTGCTTTTTTTTCTAAACTTTTCTTTTTATTTTAATTTAGATCCAATTACTCTCTTTTTTTTTCATTTCTCTCTCTCTCTCTCTCTCTCTCTCTCTCTCTCTCTCTCTCTCTCTACTAGTTAAGTACCTCCCCCTGTCTTGAAGGAGTGGCTTTGTGTAAGGAGACAAACCATATTGTTCAACCCTGCCCTAGTTGTTAGTTGTCTCTTCAACCTTTGCAATTGTTCAAGCATCCTCTTTTACTTATAATGATTCCCCAGTCTAAAAGGTCCCTTTCACTGGCACTTGAAACGGGACCAAAGGGAATCTGAAGATAGAACCTGCTGCCTTAGATCTCTGGAAAGGATTACAGTCACCTTTTAGATGTGTATTTAATTAGAAGTCGGCCCCTCGGGCCAACACTATGAAGATAACCTAATTAACCTCTTTCATATAAAGCCTAGGCTCTTGAGACTATTGATTCTTGCTGTGTCTAGGGAGTGGTAGTTATCGAAGAATCCTTTCTCTGTTAGGTATAGTCTTGTGGGACCCCAGGTAATTAGCCCTGCAGGCCACTGGAGCCAGGCAATCTGGTGTCTTTTGGGCAGCAGCCAGAAAAGTCAGGTTGCCGGAGGTGGTTACAAAGTCTTTTCCAAGAAGTAACATCAAGCTGGAGTCAAAAGATGGCATATACCGTGGAGCAGAGAGAGTATAAAAATGGTGCCCACCAGCCATCTTCCCTGAAGAGCATCCTAGTAGCCCTCTACATGTGTATTAAGTTACATGCCCAACCCTCAGGCGGACAATTGAAAGTGAGTAAAGGAGCCTCTTTAACACAAAATCTGGGCGCCTATCAGTTAGTGCTTTTGCACTGGTCTCTGGAGCAGGTGAGTCCAAAAGGATGATTTTTTGAAAAACTGTTTATCAGTTTGCTTTAGGTCTTCAGGATGTCAATTCTACTGTTTTTCAAGGTTAGATATCTGAGGGTTTGAGGTTCCTGATGTGCTGTTCAAACCCTTTGTTTCTCAGAGAGAATCTTCAAATTTGGAGTTACCTCCTGATCGTCACCGTACTGGAGGCATTGAGATTTCGTTTCAGCCTCCGACATCGACTTGTTGGATTTTGTTTTGGTTTGTTGTTTGCCTGATAAGTGTAGGTGTTGCTTAGCCAGTTTTTACATTTTTTTCTGAGGAAACTGTTTCATATGTAGCTTTAGGTTTAGTGTGTCCATAAAAGGAGGTGAGTACCAGATCTTCCTATTCCATCATCTTGAAACAGAACCTTGTCTGTTAAGCAAATTTGAGTCTTACAGAAAATTCTCTTACTGATCTTGGATTAACTTTTCAATAACAGCATATTAAGAGTTTTTCAATTTGCAGTTCTTTTTGCTTTGAAAAAATCTGCTTGGAAGTGCTTATAGTTAAGTTGCTAAAAGTACTCACCGTCTAAAGGCTCCTGTGCCATGTTTTTATATGATTAAAAATAGATGGGTTGGTAAAATATTGATAAGATCTTTTTGACTCACAAATAGAACTATACCCCCATTGCACATTATTTCACACTCTTACGAAGGTTTCCAGTATCTTTAGGAGACTTCAGTGCAAATAACTTTGAGAAGAAAAGCATTTGGAGAATGCTTTTAACCCACACATATTTTTCACTATTGAAATTGATCCTCAACCCGTTGGTAAGTTTTTGTATCAAGATAGTTCCATAGTTCTGTGGATTAGAACTATTCCTCTCTATTGTCCACTTAAAAAAAATCAGCCTTGGGGCACCTGGGCGGTTCAGTGGTTTAAGCATCTGACTTAGGCTCAGTTCATGATATCATAGTTCGTGGGTTCTAGCCCAGCATAGGTTCTATGCTGCCATCACAGAGCCTATTTGGGATTCTCTCTCTCCCTCTCTCCTGCCCCTGCCGCCCCCTCCCCAGAATAAATAAAGTTAAGAAAAGAATCAACCTTATCTCAACAGGGAATGAATAAAGATGAACATCTCGACACCATATCTTTATTTTTTTATGTTTTCTTCAGTCTTTCCCATTGAAATTATAATATGTCTTCCATTTTTTTAAATTAACCTGGTTATGCTTCACCATCTTCAAATCTAAAATAAAAACAGACAAAAAATAACTTCAAAAGTAAAATCATGGCATCAGGAAAGAAATCTCAAGGATACTTCACACTTATCTGGAGTTGTTATTTATGCGGATACCTTTGCTAATGCTCCCATCTGATCATTTTCTCCAGATACATGTTGAATTCTAGAGAATTTTGAGGGAGTTTGAATAAAACAAAGGACGTCAAATTTAGCCCCAAGATTCCTTGTTCTAACTGAGGTTTTGGTCTCCCACATCATCTCTATCTAGCCTATCAACTTTTAGCTGCTTTACAGGCTTCCCAGTAATATTTCATACCAAAAATGTTTGAAAAACATATGTATAAGATGAATCTTCTCATTTGAGTCACCTGCCTTTTAGGCTACAAGCAGGAGGAAATGTTACTGCATTCTTATATAATGAATTTGGGATATATATTTTATCAATAATTAGCATAGATTTTTCCAGTAAATAGTAATGCAATGAACTCCACTATATTCTTAATTCCAGATTAGGTGTGCAAATCTAGTTTCACATTTTTTAAATTTAAAATAAATCCATGAAGGAATAACTGAGAACCAAGTATATGATGAGCTATGAAATGTTCTGTATTAAATGCGGGTGAGACATGGGGCACCTGGGTGGCTCAGTTGGTTGTACCTCTGACTTCGGCTCAGGTAATGATTTAATGGCTCATGAGTTCTAGCCCCACATTGGGCTCCGTGCATAGCCTGATTCAGATTCTGTGTTTCTGTCTCTCTCTACCGCTCTGCTGCTCACGCTTGATTGCTCGTTCTCTCTCTCTCTCTCAAAAATAAATAAATGTTAAATTTTTTTTAAATAAATAAATGTGAATAAGATATTCTCTAATATATGGCTTTGTCAATACAGTATTAGTAAAGACAATCTATGTTACTTACCTGCCTGGCTTTAATCCATGCTCATAGCTAATGTAGGCTCTTCAGAATTCATATAAAATCTTAGGGTAACTCTTACATATGCAGTTGTTTTCTGTTTGTTTGTTTGTTTACATACATTAAATACTTTGGATTAATGTCAATTCACTTTTCCTCTCTCACTTTCTCCCTGCCTCTTTTTCTTCCTCCTGTCATTAAACAGATTTATCAGGTGCCTTCTATTTATTGATGTAGGAAATACCTCGAATATTAAAAAATGATAATGTCTAGATATTTTGTCTAAATTTAAGGCACAAATTGCTTACAATATAGGTGTAGAATGGTTAGCATATACAGACTGAAGCAAAAATAAAATCTTTTTTTGTGTGTTTCCTAATACTTATATGACTTACAATCTAAAAAATAAGAGGAATAGAAATTCCAGAAATTTTATCTTCAACTAAAAGAAATCATATCATCACCATAGCTACTTTTCATTATAATTATCTCTTTATCAGGAATTTAGTTAAATGGTTAACATACTTGTTCTTATGTAATGTTTATGACAGCCCTGTCAGGTACATACTATAATATTTATTTTCTCATTGGAGAACTGGGAACAAAGATAGTTGAGTATAAGGCTTACAACACATAAATCACTTAGTGACTATTTGAATCTAGGCATTCTGACACCAGTATCTAAGTTCTTATGGCTGCATTATACTGTTTCATGTTTGAGTTAATATAGAAACTTCTACTTGCTCTTTCCTTTAGTCAAGTAACTTTCCATCTGTCCACATTACTTCTTTGATGCTCTATTGCGTAAATGTGTAATGGAAACAGGTTTCACCTACCTTTGGGAGACATACATGTTGAGCATGATAAGCTGCTTCTTGGTCCTTTTATCATAAATCTTGTTCAGAAGCCTCTGTATTGCCCCTGTCAGATTTATAATTAAAATGAGACATGGAGCTCCCCCCCCCAGAAATGGTCATTACAGTACAATTTTTAAAGGTGACATTTTTCAAATTACTTTGGTAATCCCAGTTTTCTTTATGTTTAGAAGATCTCCTATTGCCTGGAGGCCAGGTTTCCCTTTTCAACCAAGGAAGACAATTTTTTATTTAAAAACAAAACAAAACAGAACTTCTCACATTCTGTTTTATTCTTCTACAGTATGTGTGGTTTGGGCTTTCTGGTACTTTCCTTGACTGTATATTCTTTTTAGCTTTCTGATTGATTTTTCTCTGAAAAAATCCTCTCTCCTATCTTATTCCTCCCCTGCATCGTCATATGTACACTGCATTTTTCATTACTTTCAAAAAATAGTTGAAGTGAGAACTGGCTGAAAGTTTGTCATTATTAGCCTCTGGTTGACCCTGGGCACCAAGTTATGATAGGAAAACATAGGATAAAATAGGCAGAGAGGGAAAGGATAAGACCTGAGGTCACAGGGTGGGGAAAAACTTATTTTGGAACAATGCCGAGGTGCCTGACCACAACATACCCCCTCAGGCTTAAGGTTCCTCTTAAGAATGTAACAGATCATTAGTCAGATTCCTGAGGGGGGAGTAGATGTCCAGCTCTCTCTCTCTGCCCCTCCCTAGTTTGTTCTCTCTCTCTCTCTCTCTCTCAAAAATAAATAAACTTAAAAAAAAAAACAAACAGGGAATACCAGAGAGTGGTGGGAGTTGGGGGCTAATTTTTTCCAGGAAGTGAAATATGAAGCAGGAAAATACTTAACCTTAATAATTTTTTCAAAACGTGTGCAGTTTTCAAAAATCAGTACTTTTTAAAAATTTTTATTTATTTTATATTGTTTTTAATTTGAGAAAGAGAGAGAACATGCATAACCCGGGGAGAGGGGCAGAGGAGGAGAGAGAATCCCAAGCAGTCTCCACACTCAACGGGGAGACTTGATCCCACAACTTGATCAAGGTGAAGCTTGATCCTACAACTCAGGGATCATGACCTGAGCTGAAATTAAGAGGCAGAGGTTCCACCAACTGAGCCATCTAGGTGCCCCCCAAACTCAGTACTTTTTAATGAAATGGCTATTTCAGTGGCCTTAAGATGTTTAAATGTTTTTGAAGAACAATTACCTAAAATAATTCAGGGTTTAGGTTTTATAAGGTAGCTCCAAATGTCAAATAAATTACGAAGTTAAAAAGTTACATTATTTGGACTATTAGGTTAAAGACTCACTGAGGAAATTCAGGTTTTTCATATTAGTATTACCTCCACTCCCCCACCCCACCCCCCCATACATTGGAAAGCACTGGAATGTAATGGTTTACAGCACTGTCTCTTCCCCAACTCAAATACTGAGTTTCTTCATTTAGTAGCTGTGTGATCATGAGAATGTTACTTAAACTCTAGTTGCTGCCTCTGTCAAAAAAGAGGCATGGTAACAACACATACCTCCCTGAGCAATTTAGAATAAAGAAAGATAACCTCTTACCATAGTGCTTACTATTTAATAATACTCAAAAATAATAAATGTGACTACAGGTATTAACAATTATCTCATGCACTCCCATATTAATGACACATAGTATAAAATCTTTTGTTTCTAATTTTCATACCTCAAATTTATGAATACAGTTCATGGATTAATTTATGATAATCCATTACTAATGTTACTATATCAGTATTTTATGTGTCATTTCTCTCATCAGGAAAACACTATAAATAAGTCAGCAAAAAAATAATGTAAACCTCAGAGATAACATCTTTCTCATGATATACCCATGAAAATATAATACAATCCTAATTCAGTTTAAGCATTGCTAGGAGCCCAAAAGGAGAAAAGTAGAAACTAAATGATTTTGAAATGCTTTTTTTTCTTTTTTCTTTTTTTTTTACTTCTTTCTATTATCAACAAAACAATCAAAGAAATATTTTTGAAACTTTAAGTCATATATCACCCTCTAATAACTACTAACAACTAGAATAAAATCCCATGTTACTGTTACAACATTTAAATCTCTACATTCTTGCCCCCTGAATCTGTCTCAGCTTCCATTCTATTGTTATCACCCATAGTTTCTTCGCACCCCACTGGCCTTTTTGCTATTCTCTGGGAAAACGCACAATCTCATACTTTTAGATTTGTGCACTTTCCCTTCTCTCTATGTAATATTATTTCCCCCAAATAGTTCACTGTGTCACTTCATCTATGGTGTTCCTGTTAACCTCCCCTAGGAGCACTTCCTTAACCATCCTATCTAAAGGTACGCTTATCACTATTTTCTTACTTTTTAAATTTTTCAGGACAGAATATTTACCCACCTAGCACAAATAATAGTAAATATGTGTGTTTATAGTTTTTCAGTTCATGTCCCCACACTAGAATATACATTTTATAAGAGTAGAGTTATTTTGGCAAGAAACAGACTCTTAAGTTTAGAGAACAAACTGAGAGTTACTAGAGGGGCAGGAGGCGCAGGGCTGGGTGGGGGAAACAGGTGATGGGGATTAAGGAGTGAACTTGTTGTGATGAGCACCTGGTGTTGAATGGAAGTGTTGAATCATATATTGTACACCTGAAGCCAGTAGAACACTATGTTAAATACAAAACTAAATACAAACTTGAAATACAAATTTTAAAAAAGAATTACTGTTAATTTTTGGTGCAATAAAAAAAAGAATAAAGCTCCCTCCCCCCCCACCCCCAAAAAGAAATAACTTTCACGTATTTGAGGTTTGGAGTTGAGAAGTTTACTGTAAAATAATTTTTAAAAAACAAGTATTGTTATTACAAGAATATATTTTTTGGAATAGATACAGAGGATCAGATTTGCAATTGGAAACAACTTAGTGTAATTAGCTTCATAAATGCACTGGGAGATATTAATGTAACCTCTCTGTTAAATTGGTGATTAATAATAGCAAGCTGACAAAATTCAAAGGGAAAAAAAAATAAAAACCTTTCTAAGACGTCTTAAAAAAAAAAAGTAATGTTTTATTTCACTGTTATATGCCCACTGCTTTGAAAAGTAACAGGTGCTCAGTATGTGCTCAATAAATATATACTAAATAAATAGTAAGTGCTCGAAAATATTTAGTGAAGGAATACATTAAATATTTTATGAACTACTTCCAGCTAGGTACGAATAGTTGGTATCAGACAAAGCATCATAACATATAACTGCAAAATCTGAATGATACCCCGTAGGTAACATCTGATATAGAACAACTAAAGGTCTGAAAACGTACGGGAGCCAAGGTCAAAAAGAGATCACAGCACAGAAGATTTTTACTTTGATTTTACTTTGGGTAGACTTTTACTTTGAGGTGAAACCATTGTTTTAGCTGAAGCTTCCAGGTCTAGAAGCCAAATAGCTCAAATTCTCTGAAACAGAGAATCAAGTGCTGAAAAATCCCAGAGTAAAAGATTGGAGGGACAGTGAATGAAGTGGAAAGTGATGAGTGAGACATTGACAGACCGAATGGAATTGGAGACATTTTTATGAAGGTAGAGCAAAGAGCTCTCACGAGCCCAGGAAAACAGGGTAGAAGACATGGATACAAATGTACTGTCTAAAATAAGCACTAAGTAAATTAGTTAAGAAATAGATATCAAAAGAAGTCTTGGGGTGCCTGGGTGGCTCAGTTAAGCGTCGGACTTCTGCTCATGCTCTTGCGGTTTGTGAGTTCAAGCCCCACGTCAGGGTCTGTGCTGACAGCTCAGACCCTGGATCCCGCTTGGGATTCTGTGTCTCCCTCTCTCTCTCTGTTCCTCCCCGACTCGCACTAGGGCTCGCTGTCTCTCAAAAACAAAGAATAAAAAAAAAAGTCTACAAGGGAAACTTGTATACCTGAAAAATACTTGATTAATCTGAAAGAAGCGCCTCCCCTCCCCCAAAATAGAGAAATTGGTTAAGTGAAATAAACCGGTCACAGATGGACAAGTACTTACTTGAAGTATCTAAAGTACCCAAAGTCTTGAAAGCAGAGTAGAAAGTTGGCTACTAGGGCCTGGGGCAGTGGTGGGGGTAGGGGAGAGACCTCCGGGGAGGGGAAAGTAGGAGGTTGTTCAAGGGGCATAAAGTATCTGTTCTGCAAGCTGAATCCATTCTAGAGCACAACAGTAGTGCCTGTAGTTAATAATGCTGTAGTGTATTCAGCACATTTGTTCAGAGGGAAGATTTCCTGGTAAGTGCTGTTACCACAATAAAAACTGTTTCGCTAAGAGATCACCTTTCTTCTAAAATCAAAACGCATGCTGTGACTTTAAGGAGTCAAGTAGACATAAGTTCTGCACTCCTTCAGGCCCCGTGTTTTTATTCGACTATGAATTATCATCATGATTTTGCCTCTAATATCGTTTGAAGAGCAGAGCTCTTTCTGTGACTTTTTCCCTTCATGTCAGGTTTTCCTGAGGTTGAGAAAAGGAACACAGCAACATGTTTTATAGGTATTTGCTTTAGCAGCATTGAAGTATTTTACACTCAAGAAAATAATCTAAGCATATTAATTATAGATGGTAGAGTTTTGGTAAACAGTTTGGCTTTTAAATATCACAGTTTCAGTGATAACAACAATCAGCCTGTTTATTTACGAACAAAATGCTGTTGAAATAGTGTGTTATACATAAGAGTCTTACTGGGTGAAGTATTATTTTACAAAAGGCCACAGATCCTGTAATTTCATTGTATAATAGCTAACATTAGTATTTAGCTAAAGCTTTAATGATACTTTTTACTTAGATTGAAAAGTGAATTTTCTTTGTTATTAATTTTTTTTTAATTTTTTAACGTTTATTCATTTTTTGGAGAGAGAGCATAAATGCAGGAGGGCAGAGAGAGAGAGAGAGAGAAGGAGACAGAATCTGAAGCAGGCTCCAGGCTCTGAGCTATCAGCAACAGAGCCAGATGTGCGGTTCAAACCCACGGATGGTGCAATCATGACCTGAGCTGAAGTCATACACTTAACCAACTGAGCCACCCAAGTGGTCCTGAAAAGTGAATTTTCTATGGTGAGATAGATAGCTATACCCGCATGTGCTAAATATTTTGAAACAGAGATTATCGTTAATCACACTCTTGACCACATGTCTTAAAAAATCAGAGAAGGTAAAAGGGAGAAACACGAAGTGTCTCTCCAATTTAAGCCCTACTTATTCTGTAAGCATTACATTATGAATTCTGTATTTTATCTTGTTTTCATATTCATTGTAAGGTCTTTGACCTGTCTTTGCTTTTGAAATTGCATTAATGCAATACCTCTGTTTAACTCTGTGTTTTTTACCAACCAAGAATCTATTCTAAATTTCAGATATGATGGGGCGCCTGGGTGGCGCAGTCGGTTAAGCGTCCGACTTCAGCCAGGTCACGATTTCGCGGTCCGTGAGTTCGAGCCCCGCGTCAGGCTCTGGGCTGATGGCTCAGAGCCTGGAGCCTGTTTCCGATTCTGTGTCTCCCTCTCTCTCTGTCCCTCCCCCATTCATGCTCTGTCTCTCTCTGTCCCAAAAATAAATAAACATTGAAAAAAAAATTTTAAATTTTAGAGATGAGCTTAAAGTGTTTACGTTATTCATTTAAGAGCATTTCCTTTTATTGCTAAGGGACTATCCCTCACCTTTCCCCTCCTTGATTGGATGATGCACTGGCAATCTGCTATACTAATTAAACATCTTACAATCTGTACTCATTTTATGTTATTTCAGAAAATGAGTAGTCAGTTATTTTACACTTACCTTTTGTATAACCACAGGAAAGTGAACTATAAGTTGAATTTTAGCCAGAGACTTACTCTTACATGTATACATCTATGATACATCCTACATTTATTTCTGGTAGATTATCTTTTCAAGCTTTTATTTAAAATCCAGTTAGTTGGGGTATCTGGGTGGCAGAGTCAATGAAGCATCTGACTCTTGATCGTGGCTCAGGTCATGATCTCACGGTTCATGAGTTCGAGCTCTCCATTGACCTCTGCGCTAATGGTATGGAGCCTGATTGGAATTCTCTCTCTCATGCTCTCTCTCTGCCCCTCCCAGGTTTGCTCATGCTCTGTCTCTCTCTCTCTCTCTCTCTCTCAAAGTAAATAAATGAATAAATTATACAAAACTATAAACAATAATAAATAATTTCTTGTGTAGCATTAGCTTGAGGTATACAATATATATCCTGCATTTTTTTTATGGCAGCTGCAGATTTTCATAGAGTGAACCAGGACAATTAGGACTTATGCTTATTTCCTGAAGCTAAGTGTCAAAGTCTTTTATTTTTTGCATGTGTGGAAATACTAGTTGGAAAATGACCTTTATGTCCTGGGGTTTGGTACTTTTTTTTTTTTTTTTGAAATTGTGTAACTCTAAATTCAAATTATTTAGCAGCTATAGTTCCTGTACTGTACAAGTCTTTCTTCTTTCATTTTTCAACAACATTGCTACAATTCATGTATTTGTCATAGTTATGATTAAAAAGTTCTTTATAGTGTTTATTAATTATCCTATAATATTTGAAGGGTCTGCGGTGATGTCCTTTTCATTTCTCAATTTGTTGATCTTCTCAAAGAACCAGTTTTTGTCACGTTGATATTTTATGCACATTTTTTGTTTATTAATTTGGTTTTTACCCTGATGGTTTTTCCCTGCTTTACACTACTTGGTTAGATATTGTCCTTCTTTTGCTGGTTTTTTTTTTTTTTCCAACGTTTATTTATTTTTGGGACAGAGAGAGACAGAGCATGAACGGGGAAGAGGCAGAGAGAGAGGGAGACACAAAATCGGAAACAGGCCCGAGGCTCTGAGCCATCAGCCCAGAGTCTGACGCGGGGCTCGAACTCACGGACCGCGAGATCGTGACCTGGCTGAAGTCGGACGCCTAACCGACTGCGCCACCCAGGCGCCCTCCTTTTGCTGGTTTTTAAAGGCAAAACCTGTGGTCATTGACTTGAGATTTTTCTTCTTTTCTGACGCAAGTATTGAGTGCTGTAAATTTCTCTTTTGTAAACACTTTTGATTGTATTCTACATGTTTTGATAGGGTGTGTTTTCATTTTCACTTGGCTTAATACAGTGTAACCTTTCCCTTGATACTTCTTTCACACCAGTCTTTACCTGATTTCCTCAAAGAGTAGGTTAAGGACACATTATTATTATTATTATTATTATTATTATTATTATTATATCTAATCGGCTATAAAAAAGCCTCTATCTGGTATCCTTTCCCTCCTGAATGAGTAACTTGTATTTTTGTAGCTTAAGTCTTGTGACACTGGATTTTTTCAGTGGGTAGTGATGGTGGTATTATTAGTAATGTCTGAGATAGTCTTAATTTCCTTTTTGATATGTGAGGCAGAGAATTATAGATTGAAAGCTGACTTTAACACTGGAAGACATCACTTTACTGCCTTTTGACTTGTCAGGTAAATAGTACGAAGCCCTCTGTATAAGAATCGACTAAAAATGATTAAAGACTGAAACATAAGCCCTGAAACTGTAAAACTGCTGAAAGAAGGCAGGGTTGAAGTTAAAGACACGGATCTTTGGAAATGACTTCACGGGCAACAAAAGTAAAACCAGAGAAGTGCGACTATATAAGAGTAACAGGCTTCTGCATAGGGAACGACCAACGGAGGGAAAAAGTAACATACAGAATGAGAGAAAATATTTGTAAACCATGTATTTGATAAGTAGTTCATTTCCAAAATACATAAGGAACTCCTACAAATTAGTCATACACACAAAAAAAAGCCAAAATAACTAGGTTAAAAAATGGGCAAAGGAACTGAATAGACATTTTCCCAAAGACCTACGGATAGCCAACAGGGATGTGAAAAGAGGCTTTCTCTCACTAATCATCAAAGAAATGCAAATAAGAATCATACGGCTCTCACCTTACACCTGTTAGAATGGCTGTTATCAAGAAAACCAGCAACAAGTGTTGGTGACGGTGGAGAAATCAGAGCTGTTCTGCACGGCTGATGGGAATGTGAAATAGTACAGTCACTATGGAAAAAAGTGTGGAGATTATCAGAAAAAAAAAAAAAACTACCATACGGTGCAGCAATCACACTCTTGGGTATCGATCCAAAGTAATTGACATCCTCTTCTCAAAGAGATCGGTTTACTTCCATGTTCTTCGTAGCACTCTTCACGATATCTGTGATACAGAAACAACCCAAATGTTCAACAGATCATTGAAAAAGAATACATACTATACACATACAATGGAAAATTATTCAGCCACAAAAAGGAACTCTTGCCATTTGTGGCAACAGGGATGGCTTTGGAAGACATTATCCTAAGTAAGTGTCCTTCTGGGACTGACAAATACTGCATAATTCCACACAAATGAAGCATCTAGTTAGAATACTCATAAAAGCTCAAAATAGTAGTTTCCAGGAGGAAGGGGAAATGGTGAGTTATTCAGTGGATTTAAATGTACAGTTATAAAAGAGTACATTGTGCAGAACTGATATACAACATACTGCTTAGAGAAAACAATGTGGTATTGTATACTTAAAAATTTAGAGGGTGGAGCACCTAGGTGGCTCAGTGACTTAGGCATCTGACTCTGAGTTTGGCTTAGGTTATGATCTCATGGTTGGTGGACTTGAGCCCCGCATCAGACTCTGTGCTGGCAGCATGGAGTCTGCTTGGGATTCTTGCTCTCCCTCTCTTTCTTGCCCTCCCCCACTCATGAGCTCTCCTTCTTTTTCTCTCTCCTCTCTTTCCCTCTCTCTCAAAAATAAATAAACTTTAGAAAAATGTTTAGAGGGTAGGGTCATCTGGGTGGCTTAGTCAATTGAGTGTCTGACTCTTGATTGCAGATCAGGTGTGGTCCCAGGGTCATGGGATCAGACCACACATTGGCCTCTGTGCTGAGTGTGGAGCCTGCTTATGATTGTCTCTCTGTCTCTCCCTCTCCCCCCTCCCCATTTCCCTCTTTCCCCAGCTCATGTTCTCTCTCTCCAAAATACAAAATAAATTAAAAAAATTAATTTAGAGGGTAGATCTCTTATTAAGTGTTCCTGGTACGAGAGAAAACAACATAGGGACACAAGGAAGTGATGAATGTATCTATTATCTTGATTGCAGTGATGGTATGACAGATATGCCTACCTATGTCCAAGCTCATTAAATTGTATACATTACATATATAGAGAGAGTTTTTTGTACAACAATTAGACAACTATACATACATATATATATATATATATATATATATATATAAATTATCAGTTTATAATACTCTATTCGGTTTTCCATAGTGCTGTGTGTGTTTCATTTACTCTATAAGATAATGGATAATCTTAAAAACACACAGAATTCTCACCAAGGATCTAAATTAGTAAAAAGAGTATTACAGAATGTTAAAAAAGAAATCTATTTCTTGTTATAAACATATATAACATATAGATTGTATGTTATATATAATCTCTTTCTTACTAGCACATAATAGATAAAATTGATTATAATTAGCATGTTATCTCTCTCTTTTTTTTTTCTTTTTTACATTTTATTTATTTTTGAGAGAAAGAGCACAAATGGGGGAGAGGCAGAGAGAGAGAGGGAGACACAGAATCCGAAGCAGGCTCCAGGCTCTAAGCTGTCAGCACAGAGCCCCACTCGGGGCTCCAACTCACAATCTGTGAGATCATGACCTGAGCTGAAGTCGGACGCTTAACTGACCGAACCACCCAGGTGTCCCAGCATGTTATCTCTAATCTTTGTTAAAATAATAGCAAGATTTCTGTTGTCCAGACCCTGACTTGGTCAGTGGGGAAACGCTATGGTCCTGCCTCAGTTCTTTTTTCAGTATTCTGAAGAGCTCTGTCACTTGCTCAGAATTCCTATATTTGAAGGTTTTACATTATGCCAGTTTCTTGGGCAACAGATTCAATAACTCAATTAGCTGTATTTTCTTCATATGCAAAAAAAAAATGGGTTAAACTAAATGATGTCTAATTTCATATCTAGAATTCTTTTTTTTTAATTTTTTTTTACATTCATTTTTGAGAGACAGAGACAGAGCACAAGCAGGGGAGGGGCAGAGAGCGAGGGAGACACAGAATCTGAAGCAGGCTCCAGGCTCCGAGCTGCCAGCACAGAACCCAATGCGGGGCTCAAATCCACAAACTGCAAAATCATGACCTGAGCTGAAGTTGGACGCTTAACTGACTGAGCCACCCAGGCACCCCCAATCTAGAATTCTTCTGATTCCAAATTAAGACTTTATTTTTATTGAGATATAATTAACAATATAGCATTGTAGGTTTCAGGTGTACAAAATAATGATTCCATATTTGTATGTATTATGAAATAGTCAACAAAATAGGTTTCATTAACATCCAGTGTCATGCATGCAATTTTTTTTTTTTTTAAATGTTAGAGGAAGAGGGCAAGCATGAGCAGGAGACAGGGGCAGAGGGGCAGAGGGACAGAGAGAATCCTAAGCAGGCCTAACACTCAGCACATAGCCTGAAGCAGGGCTTGATCCTATGACCCTGTGATCATGACCTGAAACCAAATCAAGAGTCAGACACTAAACCAACTGAGCCACTCAGGTGCCCCCACAGATAGTTTTTTCTTAAGAGTTTTAAAACTCACTGAACATACTAATTCGCAGTTTCAGACTTTATTTTTTTTAATGTTGATTTTTGAGAGAGAGAGAGACAGAGACAGAGAGAGGGAGAGGGAGGGGCAGAGAGAGAAGGAGACAGAGAACCTGAAGTAGGTCCAGTGCTTTTGGTGCAGAGCTCACCAGGCCGAACCCACCAACCGCGAGATCATGACCTGAGCTGAAGTCGGACGCTTAACTGACTGAGCCACCCAGGCACCCCTCAGTTTAAGACTTTAAATGTTACAGGGGTGCCTGGGTGGCTCAGTCGGTTGGGTGTCTGACTTCGGTTCAGGTCATGATCTCGCGGTTTGTGAGACCAAGCCGCAGGTCGGGGCTCCGGGCTGACAGCTCGGAGCCTGGAACCTGCTTCGGATTCTGTGTCTCCCTCTCTCTCTGCCCCTCCCCCGCTTGTACTCTGTCTCTCTCTGTCTCTCAAAAATGAATAAATGAAAAAAAAATTTTTTTAAAAAGACTTTAAATGTTATATACACTTGTAGTTTCCAAACTTTTTTTATAAATAGGTGGTGTAAAGATCTTTTCTAGTTGAATTGCAAATAAATAAAGAAATTTAAATGAATGAAGTCTAACTAAATGTACGGTCTCTACCATCTCCTACCTTGAGAAAGAATTTTAAGCTGGTTTGAGCAGTTTGACTTTTTCAAGCTAAGATAAAAAGAGTTACAGAGTAGGGGCACCAGGGTGGTTCAGTCCGCTAAGTAGCCAACTTTGGCTCAGGTCATGATCTCCTGGTTCATGGGTTCAGACCCTGTGTCGGGCTCTGTCGTGCTGACAGCTTAGAACCTGGACCCTGCTTCAGATTCTGTTTTCTCCCTCTCTCTCTGCAACCGCCCCTCCTCCCACCCCCCCATTGCTTAAGCTCTGCCTCTCTTTCAAAAAATAAACACTTAAACAAATTTTAAAAAAGTATTACAGAGTAATGAAAAACTTGTTGGAATAAAGATAAAAATAAATACGGAGAGTAATAAAAAAAGAAGTTTCATGAGATTTCCCCATTCACGCACACAAAATTAGACTTCCTGGTAATATTCAGTCCCCTTTCTTTAGGAATACATTCCAGCAGGGCACTTTTCTATCTTCTCTGAGGATTTTTCCACATCTTGATCTAATACCTCAAAATATTCTCCCTAAAATCTGCATCTCTCCTACGCTACTTCCTGTTGATCTCTGTGACACTGTTGCTGTCAGTGCTGGGATGAGAATTATTCCTTTTAGTGTCTTTTCCTTCTATAATCATTTTCGTGTGGATTATAGAACTTCTCTTCCTTCTCCGTCAAACGGGTAGGTTTGAGGAGGTAAAATAAACCAAATGGGAGTTTTAATATGGTCTCAAAAAAAGATACAGTAGTAAAAAAGTTGATAAACAAAGATTGATTTGAATGAGGGGAACTCCTTGACTAAAAGGAAGTAAAATTATGCGTCGAAAAAACTATACTTTTTATCTTTGATTCTCTATATGTAGTATCTCTCTTTTTCCCCCAGTGCCTTCTGGAATTTTTGTTTCTGTTTTGTGTTCAGCGAATTCAATAATGTATATCTAGGTGTTTATGTTTGTTTGGGATTCATCCTCACATTATTCACAGGATCTCGTGGATTTGTCATTTGAGCATCTGTCATGAATTTATAAAAACTTTCAGCCATTATTTCTTTAAATACTCCAATTGCATATTCTGTGTTCTTCCGGTATTCCAGATTTATTTATGTTAGACTATTAAATATGTCGCACTGTTCTTGGAGGCTCTGAATTTCCCCCATTTTTTCTCCCTCTGTTTATGAAAATTGTCAAAGTCTGTAACTAAAGCATCTAAGACCGAAATTCCTATGAAAATTAGTTTAGGAGAAATTTAGGAGAAAACATTAGAATTGATGAAGCATCAGGGAAAAAAATTCCAAGTGATAAAGCATATTCAGTGGGATTAATGCCTATAAAAGTAAGATTGGCCATCCATACAACCCTACCACTCTGTATAATTTTTTCTCTTCTTGGTAACTTAAATAAAATCATGAGTACATTGTAGTTTCTATAAAGCTGGAGTTTCTCACATGGTGTAACATTTTTTGAAAACCTAGAGAAGCATCTTGTATAGTAGAATGACAGCCGTGTCACTGAGGGGTGTCGTATGTTAGCAAGCTTGTACAGCAAAATCATTGAATACCTTTGAATATCTGAAAATGATGAAGGGGCAGATCCATGTTTTGTTCAAGAACTGAAGTTTCAAAGCAAGTCAAAGATGGTTTGAAAGATTTAGGAATTCCAAGTCTACATAATTTGTAAAAGCAGCTTCCACGTTCTAGACCCCAAATCGGGCAACAAACTTGTATCACACGCCTAAATGATAGCTTCTGTAGGTGAGCATTAGCCTGAGCATAACACAAGCATCACATTAAAAAATTTAATAGAATTGCAGCATCAAGTTACCAGGCAATAATCCTAAGTAATGTAAATATATATTCATCTTAAGTATGTCTTTGCTTTCTTTCTGATTATTCGTCTTCCTGTAGGTTTAAGAACGCCATTGTTCT